GTTCAATACCCTCCCACATTCGCATAAAAAGCACATTCTTGGGAAAATCCTCATCTTGGGATCTGATACCGTCTGTGTCTTCCAAATATCTACCTGGAATGATGTCTCCTGGGAAATGTATGGGACTGACACCAATGGATAATATATTATTCTTAATCAAGATATACAAGTTCAGGGCGGCTCTCCCAAGAAGACAGATTCCACCCTGGCAACCTGGGGAAAAACATGCAACCTCTGCAATGTTTTGGGTTTTTTTTAATCACTCAGATTAAAGATTCAGAAATCATAGCTGTTTGTAATTTAGTTTATACAAAAGGATTGAGGGTGAGGGGTGATAAGGAGTGCTATTTTCTGAAGAAGACAAGAGAGCTATGACTGGATGTCCTTAGTTCTCACACCCTCCCTCCTGCAAGATGAGTCAAACTAGTCAGACTACCTCTACTTGCCCTCTTTTGTTAAATTGTTACTGCATTCCCAACGTGAGGTTTTACTGTGGGCAACACCGATGGGTTCAACCCATTACCGAACAAATCATATCCTATCTTGACTAAGGGCTGCAAGTGAAGAATATACTGATCATTGCACATCGTTGCATCTAATCCTATCTAATGAAAGGCTAATATGCAAATCGACTTAACAACGGAACGACCGGTTGCTATGATGCACACTGACCACCACGGGGCAGATGCTCAATGCATTTTGAGGAATATTTTTAAAAATTATAAGAGGGTGCTGAAAAATATTGGCTGAAGGAATGCATGTTCCCCAAATCTAAACCCTATCCTTCCACAATATCGATAACCTTACAATAATCAACTTATACATGCCAACTTTAAAGTGAGTATACATTATGTCTTTACTTTTGATATGTGATATTTGCCATATTTGTAACGGTCATTTACAAATGACAACTTCTGATAAAGGTTAGCATCTAAGTCCAGTATCAAGTTTTGACCAAATATTGACATATAACAACTCTCTAAAACCTTCCTATAATGTTAATTACCAAACAACATAATATCCCAAACACCCAGG